TGGACGGACCTTATAGCGACGGGAACGATGACGTTTTGAGACAGGAGTGACGTTCTGGAGACGTGATTGCACTGAGTAATTCATCGTCGATGGACGAAGGGCAAGTGACAAGAACCGCCGAACACGTCCGGCCTGCTTTGTCAAAGTGATTGGTGTAGGCGACGAGTTAAATTGGCATTTAAGGTGTTAAGCCGAACGTTCCATGTGACAACATTACAGACTATGGACCAAGGCAACATCTAACTCGTAAACGGATGCATTTAAAACATCAGGTCTTTGAATACCGGTTATGCGAAGAAGATGGGAGAGTTTCCGGAGGCATTTCCGATTCGGTCTCACCTGTACAATCTAATTGCCATATCTCGCCGTATTCCCTAGACTAGGGGTAAACACGCGTTGCAAAAACCAAGGACTAACAGCTTCCCGACGTACGCGCACCGAATCAATAAAGAATGAATTAGTGCGATTCGAACACCACGATCTGCGCTCCATGATAAAACCCGTGTTCGTGAGTAATGTGATAGAACAGGAAACGGTTTCTGGTCACAGAGATTACTCTGTGACAAAATTGGACCCGTTGCAAGCACCCGACGCACAGAACAGTTTTTTTCAAAGCCTAAATGATATTGGTAGTCAGTCATCACCCAAAAAGCGGAAATCATTGGCATTCATTATAAAAGGTTATAAGACATGATCAGCAAACAGTATCGAGCTGATCCCGTGGACAAAGTTACTTGAGTGGCGAACAGCCACCGAGGATCTCGCGCAATGCGACATAAGTGTACGAATTAACCAGTTTGTTGTTTAACTATTTCCCATCCTAATCTGTTTGTTTTTACCTTTTGATCTGGAGCGCATCGCTATTTACAGTCGACAGACTGAAGGGTTACTATGAAGTTACTATGAATTCGGTGTTGGATTGAGGTCGTATCAGGTCAACACAAACAGTGTCCTTAGGCGGGCAAGATCTACCTACATGACACCGGGGTGGGGGAGGAAGGATGGGGTATTGATTGCATCGATTGACATTAACCCAAGCTGCTAGGCCTTGAACTCAACACGTGGTCCGAATACCGGTTAACACTATCCACTGATTCTGTAAAAACACGTTCATTAGAACGGTGTTTGATAAACACAGTGCTCGGGCGCGTATGCGCACAGATGAACTCGTTTACTGTACGTTTGCATGCGTTCGTATCTGTACAGAACGGGGTGGGATAGAGATTCGGCATAAGAAGGACGTTAACAAAAAAAATAACCAAAAGGGGAAAAATCAGATCTGTGAACTGGATATCGATAGGTGGAGCTGAGTGAAGAACCCTAGAGCAAGCAAGGCTTTCGATTGTGTACGCATACGCAGCGAGTACCCGAAAGAGGGTGTGGAAAATCCAGCTGTGAGGTCAAATCAAACAAGGCTACAGATCCGCATGAACTATTCAGTGGCACACAAGTTTTCAAATATTACCTCATACTGCTAGTCAACACCGATAATTCAACTCCGACAGTTAAGGGGAAAATCAAGTGAAACCAGGGATTAGGCAGTTCCCCAGTCGAGTGTTACATATGCAGAAGACAATATATAGACGACAAAGCTTACGTAAATTGTTATTCAGGAAGTCTATTGTTCGCAGAGATAATGCAGTGAATATAGGTATAAACTAAAACTCAAACTCGAATACATGAGGCTTCCTGGTGAGATTTGTTGACCTGTTCCCACCATCTCATTTCTGAACGCGGAACTAGGGAAAAACGCAATAGCAGTCAACCACGACGGGTTCCTGAGATCCGGTTAGTACTATATAGTTGATTTCAAAGTTTTATTACAGGAATAGCTTACAAGCTTGTCTCTTGTCCCATAGGATATTTACACAGATAAATCGTTACATATCGAAAAAGGAGTCGTATAGAGATC